AAGCAGATGGGGTCCTGGCTACCCTAGAGGGGACAGGCCCCTGGCTTAATCTCTCCAACCCAAGCTTTGAGTTCCTGACCCACCCCTTGTTAAGTGTTTGACCTTATACAAAGCACCTGACCTAAATTTCAATTTTTTCTTTTCCAACATGATAACATGATCTGCTCTACCTATCTGACAGGGCTGTCAAATAAAATGAAAACATATGTGAAAGCGCCTTGTCAATTATTACATACTAAACAAACAGAAGGTATTAAACCCTCCTTAGGCCAAAGCTTTCCAATCATGGTGCCAAGAATGATTTCCAGATGTACTGAAATACTGACCCACCCCTGCATCCCCTACCGGAAGTTGCAGAGGCTCCAGCTATAGTCTGCCACACAAACCTCACTATCTGTGTGTGACATAACGTAGGAGGAGTGTAGAAGCCTTGCTCTCCAACACTGTGTCATGTCAACAGATCGGAGTTGGCCAGCTGACTCCCTTCACTGGATGACTTGGGCCTCCCCACCAACTCTCTGCTCTTACGATCCTGCTCCAAAGGGAGTATGTCACTGTTTCCCCAAAAATCAAAGAGGATCAGGCCTGAACACCAAAGACAGCTAGTCCAATGCCATCACAAATATACCAAAACAAAACAAAAGCTTTTATCTTAGGTGACAATATGGCAAAGATACTGCCATATTTTCACAGAAGACTTGAGCAACTACTAGTTTTACAACTACCTTCAAAACCCAAAATGCTCTAAAAACTCTTTTTGGTGACAAATCTTTGTCATTCAAAAGAGGATCTAATTTTTACCAACTACCCAAAGTTACTCAGATTCTAGCCACTGAGGTGAAGTGACAAGGCAAGCAACAACTTTTGGCTTCTGTAGGTCTCACCCTGAATTGACAGTAGTACCAGAAGTGAATTTCCAAGCAGACTGTCTACTCTGAAAAGCCCTTTTTATTTAAATAAGTATGTTTATTAAAGGGAACAACAGTACTTCATACAGAGACCTTGCATTGTTTTTTCAGGAATCTACTGCTAATGGAGCTATGCAACACTTGCCTTATGTCCATCCTAAGACAAAGGTCTAGAAGAAACAGTGGAGAGGGGAATGAGAGATGGAGGGACAAACAGGAAAGGAGAAAGAAAACATACACTTTTGGGGGCTGGCGCTGTGGCATATCGGGTAAAGCCGCCACTTGCAGTGCCAGCATCCCATAGTGGGACAGTTCAAGTCCAGGCTGGTCCTCTTCAAATCCAGCTCTCTGCTGTGGCCTGGGAAAGCAGTACAAGATGCCTTAAGTCCTTGGGCCCCCATGTTCGTGTGGGAGACCCGGAAAAAGCTCCTGGCTCCTGGCTCTGGATAGGCCCAGCTCTGGCCGTTGTGGCCATGTGGGATGTAAACCAGCAGATGGAAGTGCTCTCTCTCAAATAAATACGTTCAAAAATATTTTTAAAATGTACTTTTTTTGGTAAAGAATAGTTTAAAAATCTGCAAGAGCTATTCTGTGGCTTCCTTGACTGTCTAAAACCAGCAGAAACCAAGGGTAACAAGATTAGTTTCAGACCCTCAGGTTATAAAGACTTTTCCATACATTCCAGAAGTAACGCTGGCAGGCATCTGACATTCAGACTTCCCTCGTCTCGTAAGTCATCACCCTCCACGTTATGTGGGACAACTCATTTTCCCGTCTGTACAAATAGTGTTAGTTTTTCATCCACAGCCATGTCATTTTAAGTCCCCTGCTGAATTTACTCCTTCTAGACATTTGTCATTCAGAAATTTATTTATGCTCCCAGGCTCTAACAGTATCAAGTTATTACTTATAACCTTCATTTTCAGATTTTCCACTCCTCCTGTGTCATAACTGCTACACATACCACACAGACTTACATCCACACTGGTGAGAAAATTCTATTGACTATCATCCCATGGTCCTCCTTGTCCAAATTGGATTCTTTTTGTCATACTTTTTTAGTGTAACATTAAACCAGGTGTTTATCCATTGAAGTTTAAGTAAAGGAAAAGACCTTTTCTTAGTGTCTGATAGAAAAGCAGATGAGATATCCCCAACTCAGGCCAAAAAGGAATGTAATGGAAATGTGGTAAAGGCCATTTACGGTAGTAGTCTGTAATCAAACAACCCACATTCAAATCCTAGCTCCCCGGTGTAACTCAGAGAGATCCCTTCTGCTTCAGGTAGCCGTTCAGTTTCAGTTTCTTCAGCTAGGAGAATTACAGCCACCTTACAAGGCTGCTGGGAGGATCAGGTGGGATAACCATGTAAAGCACTTAGCATAATGCCTGGTACACAGCAAAGCAAACAAATCACTTGTTATTGTGTGTAGACATAATCTATCTTCTGAATTTGTCATCACCTTAGAAGGAAGCTAACTGAGCATAACCCATTCTTTACAAAGTTACGTTTTCCTCTCTTCCAAGTGAAGGTGATAGACAAATGGAAAATTATTTTGTGAACAGAAGACATTAAGTGACTTTAAAAACACTGGAATAGGCTGTATAGGTTCCTTCGGGTTCTAACATTCTCAGTAACAAGCATCAAGTACCTTTAGAATTTCCATCTTCAATCAACAAACACTTCACAACCAAATCAGTAAATGCAAACAGGCACTCTAACACTTACATTAAGGCCGGGAGGGATACTAACTCAACCACAGGAGAAAAATAATCATTAAAATACCTCATGTAGGAAAAGGGTCGTCAGGATGGGTAGGAACACAACAAACGCTTATGGCTCACACCCCTGCAACACCTTGTTTGCCCTTCGTGGCAAAGCCAAAACTCAAGGCAGATGCCCAGAGTTAAAGGCAGGAAAATGAAGGCAAAGTCCACCCAGGACCCAAACATTTTACTGTGAACTATGCCTAGGAGGCTGATGATACTCAACATGTATTCAATAATGATAAACACATCCATCTATAAATCCAGAGTTTTGGCTACAACCAGCCATCCCTAAAAAGAAACCTCAAAACCACAAATCAAGAACTGAATAAGCAGGCAGTCCCACTTCCTTCTCTAAGTCTAGGGAGGAATTTAGAAACACTGAAGCTCTGCAGCAGTCGAGATTTCAGATTGCAGTATCAGCTGCGATCCTTGCTTTCTGTTCTCCAGGGCCCCAGAACAAGCCACTTCAGTGGGAAAACGGACAGTTTCATGAAAAACCGTTTCCACTAACTTAACGAGACCCTAGGCAGAAGTTTCTAATCTGGCTGGAGGCTGCAGATCTCTTTTTGCGAATCTGATATGAAGAACTGCCATTCTCCCCCAAAGTGCAGGAAAACAGAACCCTGCACAGAATTTCCGAGGTGGAGGTGAGGAAGACCCTGCAAGTCCCGGAAGCTTAGACCACAGACCCCGAGTCATGAGTCAGGATGAAGGCAAACCATAATCCAAGGAACACCAATCTGTCAATCTGAGACAGGCCCATACAACATGAGAAATACCTTTTCTCGGATAATGAGATGCAGACTTGGTGACTGAGAGGACCTGGATCCCACAGAGCAAAGAGAGCACCACCCCCACAGGACAGTGAAACTGCACTAAAACACAGTCAGCTGCTGTGGCTCTGAGAGATCAGCAAGGAGACGGCCAACTCGTGCAGCCTTAAGGGAAGCCTGACGTAACCATTTCTGGGGCGCATTTCTCCGACAGCGAAGTTAGTTAACTGGCCAGCAGGAACATGCCTATAGAGGTGAAAGCGCGAAAGCTTAGGCTTACGAAAAGTGTGGAAATCTTCCATTTCTCCTCTTACCAAACAAGAACCGAGCTGGAGAAGGTCCGTACCTTCATCTGGGAGAAAACAAAGACGGGACGAGGGGGACCAGAGAAATCCCAAGGAGGCGGCTAAAGGATCTGCAGGAAGTGTCGAAAGTTCAAAACTTTTTGAGATCAAAGGACTCAAAACGAAGATAAGAGAAAAAAAAAAAAGGAAGCAATAATAAAAAGAAAAAGAAAAAAACGCCTGGCGTCTAAGAACTATTGAAAAAAAAAAAAAAAACACTTTCCTTTTCCGAGACACGTAACCAGTGGTAACTTGGCAAGGGGGAACAAGCCAGAAGAGGACAGCACAACTCACTTCCCACACTCCTTGGACGTCGGCACAAGCACGGCCGGCTTGGGACACTCCACGGACAAGGCTCCTCCCCGCTGCACTGCCCCGGGACCCCCCTCCGAGGGGTATCACTCTCTCCCTTCTCACTGCGGGAGAGGAGGGGGGAAGGAAAAAAAAAAAAGTTGGCCACCAAACTCGAAGATTGTCCCCTCGGCTACTTGGTCAAGAAGGCTTGGAGCCTGCGACCCCCTTACCCACCCAATGCATGCAAAGCCCGGAGGGTGCAGCCCTCCAAGGGCCGGCCCTGCCCCTTCGCTCCACTGCTTCGGGGGCACGCTCCGAGAGGGGCAGGAGAGGAAAGTCGGGCAGCCACGGCGCGCGCTCGGCGACAGAAGTGCCCCATCCGAGCGCGCAGCGGCGGAGGCAACGCGCCCGCCCCGCCAAGCACCGCGACCCGTCCATCCCTCGCCCGCCTCTGCCCCGGCCGGGCCCGCTCCGCCCCCACCTGTCTGCGGGGAAGCCGGCGGCTCTCCAGCCGAGGATCACCCCCGCCGCTGCTCTCCGGGAATCGCCTCGACGCTGGCGAGGAGCGAGCGGAAACGCCAACCCGGACCTTTTCCGACTTCCCCTTCCCCCACGACACACCTCGGATCCTCGGGGGCGGGGAGCGACTGCAGCTGTCACAGCCTCACACGGACCAACCGCCGAGGACGCTCTCGCCAAGCGACCTCCCAAGCCGGCCTCCAAGCACCGGGACCCAGAGCGGCGAAGCCGGAAGTGAGGGGACCGGAAGTAGCGTTGTCCTGGGCCCAGGCCGGCCTCTCTCTCCCTAAATCCGGCCCGGCGAAGCCACGTCTCGATGGTGCCAGCGCGCCTCCTCCCCTCTGGCCCCCCCCCGCCCCTCTCCTGGAGGCTGGCCCCGCCCCTCCCGCTGCGGCCCTAGCAACCACATCCGGGGCTCCGCGGGTGCCGGTTGCCCGGGTGACTCTCTGGCTGACTTGTGGAGGAGCTTATGCGTGGGTCCGGAGGCCGCGGCCGGAGTTGGGAGCTGGCGGAAGGGCTCGCCAGCATGGTCTGAGGGGGCGGAGGTCTCCAGGAGCCCTCAGCACCGCGTCTTTCTCACACTTCCCGGCCTCACGCGTTAGGCGTCCCCCACTTCAGCAAGACAGACGGTGAGCCGGTGCCGGGAGGGTGTGGAGGCGGCGGGAGCTCACCGCCATGCAGCCACAGACGAGCCAGAGCTGCTTTCTCGGCCACGGAGAAGCTTATTCCAGCCCCGCGGGGTGGGCTGAGGTGGTGGAGAGAATGCGGGCATTAGGGCGCGGACGGGGTGCGAGCGCCTGGCGCGCCCACTCCCTTGGGAGTGACCCCCACGCCCGCCGGCCCTTAGCTCTTGCTCGGTCTCGGATCGCTTTCGGTTCGTCTCGCTCGCCGACAGTGGGTCCCTAACACTTCTCCTGCCCGTCCCTTTCTTGTATAGGTGACCGGGCTCCACTTTGTTTGCTCGCCCTGTTGCATCTTAAATAGATCGCTGAGCTCTCTGCAGTAACTACTGAACAGTTCCCTCTCTCCGAGCCCTTCCCCCGCTTGCGCTGCAGGGAGGGAACCCTGGCTCGGGGCTCCTTTCCCTGCAGGGCAGACAGTCGGTCCACCCTCCGGACTCCTGGGCTGCTTTTCCTTGGACAGCCTCCGCTGCTCATTTTGACCCCCGCTTTGCTTGCAGAAACGCGAAAGCGACTGTGCACATGGTGAGACTTAGCCTTTGATCTGGATCTCTCCCCTGTCACCTTAGCTGACTACAGTGCCCAAAGGCAGAATTCTGCCTCGGCCGGTTCCCAGGAAGTTTCAGCCTAATAAAATATCCCTGCACGGCTCTCTTCCGCAGGTTCAGGGATAGTGAATACCTAAGACACCACAAATGTTGGAAACATAGCAATATCGTCTCAGATCTCCAGATACCTCTTCCGAAAACAGCACTGAAATCCCAAATCATAAGTCTGAGTGTAAAGCACCCTTTCTTATCTCACAAGGCTCTGTCTTTAACAGCAGAAAAAAGAAGTGAGTGCGCACACACACACACGCCACGCACTCAAACTGTAACTTCCATCGCAGAGCTTACCGTGGATTTCCCTGGTCAAAACCACTCTGTTGGTTTGGAGCCCGCCCGTTAGACTTCTCAGTGATAAACAGAGAATCCCGACCTAGAATGGTCACTGCTCGTACTGAGTAGGAGCTACAGAAGTTGTAGCTGAGAACACGTGTTAGTCCGCAGGCTGCAAAGGGATGGCTTGCAAGAGGAGACGGTGAGCTTGCGTGGTGTGGATAACTAGGACATCTGGCTGTTGCCTATGGCTGCCTGCCCACCACCTCTTGGTTTGGGGATATTAGGCTCCTAAAGTTAGTCAAGTGTGTCTTTATATTAGAACGATGCCCACCGGTTATAGTGATTGGCCTTCCCAAGGATCCTTTCCTTGACAGCTACTGCTGATTTCGGTGAGAGAGTCTGAGGACCCCGGAGCTAACTTCTGCTCGGTGAAGATGCCATTAGTTGTGTTGGGTACCCCTCAGTCCAGTGAGTGTGGCACTGAGTATGGTTAATCCTCATCCACAGTATTTCACTGCCCAAGGCCATACACGGGATTAATCGTTCCGTGATTTCTACTGCGCTGAGGGAAGTCAGCATGCTTGTCTCTGTGAAAACATAGGAAGCTGCTTCAGCTGGTGGTAGAAAAAGTGGAATTCTTCCTTCATTTTAAGGAACAGCAGCCAGTGATCTTTGGATTGAGGGGGAAAATTTGATGCTAACTGAAAGATCTTATTTTAAAAAAAAAAAGATGTATTGATTTACTTATTTGAAAGGCAGAGTTACAGAGAGGCAGAGAGAGGTCTTCCTTGCGCTGGTTCACTCCCAAAATGGCCACAAATGCTGGAGCTGAGCCGGTCTGAAGCCAGGACCCTGGAGCTTTTTCTGGGTCTCCCACACAGGTGCAGGGGCCCAAGGACTTGGGCCATCTTCTGCTGCTTTCCCAGGCCTTAGCAGAGAGCTGGATTGGAAGTGGAGCAGCCGGGACTAGAACCGGGGCCCATGTAGGATGCCAGCACCCGCCACCACAGAACCGCGCCAAAATATCTTATTTTAAACCTGGCCCTGCTTAGGTGGTGGCCTGTTTTTCCCGTCCTTTCTTCTTTGCTGTAACTCCCCTCCCCACAAGCCTGGGACATTCTGCCTGCTCACTCTGTTAGAAAGAACAGAAGATTGCTGCTTTTCTCTCAGTTGGCATTTGAAGAGATAAGAAAATTACACTTAGATATGGAGGTCACCTGCTTATTTACCATTACACTATCATTGGCTCTTCTGCTTTTGAAAAGTTGGATACTCCTTATTCGCAGGGCTAGTGGGGAATTCTAGTAGTCTGTCAGTGACCAAGAAGGGAAGGAGGCAACCAGTTAAAGGGTATTGTTTTTTAATTCCTCTCTGAATCAATTAATTGTGTGTGTAGCCAACTATCTCTGGTTTAGATGTTGAAGACTGTTGCTTGTCAATGTTATTTTCTGGAGGATAGAAGAAAATTCTATCTTCAGATCTTTTCTCTGAAAATTCTGGTGATATCTCAAAAATCGTATCACTGTTTGCTTCTCTTTTCATGGAGAGAGATCTAGCATGCTGATCACACATTGTAATCGCTCTGGAAACAAGTCCTGTATTGCAATAGGAGGATGCTAAATAATGGAACATTGTAAGAAGCCCCCAACTAGTGCACTAAGCGAAGACGTACAGTGGAGTTACTAGAACTGCGTAGCATCTGTCGAAAGCTGTACAGTGGGCACATGCACATTTCATTCAGTTACACACAGACGCCACCTGTACACCTGAAGAATACAGTGAGGGGAGGGCTCTCAGGATCACTAGTTTCTAAGGACAGGAGACAGGGTTGGCTTTTGATGCTCGGAATGCCCAGACCCCATTCCAGAGTGCCGGGAGTTTCTGTCATCAGCCTGTCAACCCTGGCTGCTGCCTCTGGGGAGTAAACCAACAGAGGAGAGATTTTTTTTTTTTTTTTTTTTTTTTTTTTGACAGGCAGAGGGGACAGTGAGAGAGAGAGAGACAGAGAGAAAGGTCTTCCTTTTTGCCGTTGATTCACCCTCCAATGGCCGCCGCGGCCGGCGCGCTGCAGCCGGTGCACCGCGCTGATCCGATGGCAGGAGCCAGGTACTTATTCTGGTCTCCCATGGGGTGCAGGGCCCAAGCACTTGGGCCATCCTCCACTGCACTCCCAGGCCATAGCAGAGAGCTGGCCTGGAAGAGGGGCAACCGGGACAGAATCCGGCGCCCCGACCGGGACTAGAACCTGATGTGCTGGCGCCGCAAGGCGGAGGATTAGCCTAGGGAGCCGCGGCAACAGCTCAGAGGAGAGATTTTATTCTCTCTCTTTCTCACGCTGAGTAGATACATCATGTTAAATAAACAAAAGTAGAGGTGTTCCCCTAAGCGTTTATTCTGATAACTGAGGGAAGCTTCCTCTATGACCCTGTCACTCTTGCACTATTGCCACTTGTGGCACACTGACTGGCTGAAGTCTGTTTCCTCATCCGAGCCCTATGAGCTTAGCGAGGCTTGCCCCAGTTTTGCATAGTGGCGGGAGCGTGCTCATTTAGGAAACTCACAGACGTGGATATCAGCGTAGGTATGGGCGTAAAGCTTTAGTGAGGTAGAACTGGTTAACTGGCTTCAGCTGTGATTTCCCTCGCTGTTATATTCCGCACTCTTAGCAGCAGCACTGTTTCCTGCCCTAGCCCTGTGGTTGAGCTCAGTGTTAGTTCTACCACGACCCCATTGGTTACGCTCCCTATGAGAACTCATTTTTCTCACCTCCTTAGTCCTGCATGCCTTCCTTTGAGCCCCTATTTAAGTCTGCCTTCAGTTACTGCCTCTGCATGTCTGGTTCCCATGATAAGTCAGATCCTTTTTAGGAGACTGAACTTTGGACTGGTTTTATTCTCTCGCAGCACCAGGAAACTGAATAACGTGGCTTGGATTATAAAAATTTATTATCCACTACACACCTGGCCCGTTCCAGAATCCAGCAACGGCTGCTGCTTAGGGTCATGGAACAGGCAGGGTGAAGTGGATGTAGTGTCTGTCTGGAAAACAGTGAGCACTCGAGTGCTTGAAGTTTGGAAAGTGGTTGATTCTGTCAGAGAGTAAGCGCTTGGCAAGAGGCGAGTAACTTACTACCCTCTAGAAACTCTGAAGGGAAGAACGCCAGCGTTAGGTTTCGTAATATTGGTTTAAAGTTGGCTGTTAGAGTTACACATTTTTTAACTATGAAAGGAAAAAAACTGAACTTATTCATAATTAAGTTACCTAGCGGGAGCACTTGGCATTTTGATTGATGTCTTTTTTCTTCATGTATTTAACAAGAACAGGTTGTCATTGAGAACTTGCTGCTTGTGACACCAAGCTCTGTAGGAGTGAGTAGCTGTGAACCGCTAACCTCATAGAGTTTTCAGTAGATACTGTATTTGTTGGCATATTGTTTTATGTTTTCTCTGCTTCCCTTAATATATCATGGAATTTTCCTCATGTCATGAATGAGTCTCTAGTATGTTTAATTGTGTTTCAGCCTATAGGTATTCCTTAATGTATTTCACTAACCCTTGTCATTGTACATTTAGGCCATTTCCACTTTTGAATGTAATTATGTAACAACAACGTGAAGAATATTCTGGTGTGATAGGTAGGTTCCAAGATGCCCTCACCCTTGTGTAATTCCCTCCCATTAACAAGATCACGCCCACATTCTGTTATGTTACATGCAAAGCAGTCTGATGATGGAATTAAGGCTGCTAATCAGTGGATTTGAATTAATCAGAAGGAAGAAATCTGAGTGGGCCTAACCTACTCACTCAAGCCCTTTAGGAGCAAGCGGTTTTCTCCGGCTGGTGTCTGTGCAGGAGGTCAGAGATTCAAAGTGTGAGAGATTCTGCGGGAGAATGTTCACTGCTGTTGAAGTGAAGAGCACCTCCTAAGCGAGCTGAAAGTGACCTTAGCAAACAGCCAACACCAAAACCCAGAGCCCTCGACCCCACCACAGCGAGGAGCTGAATTCTGCCACCAACCTGAATGAGCTTGACAAAAATTCTCCCCACAGCCTCCAGATGGGAGCCTGGCCTCTGCCTGACATCTTGACTCAACCTAAGCAGGTGACCCAGTTGAACCCAGCTGGACTACTGACCAACAGAACCATGTAGAGTGTTGTCTTAAGCCACTAAGTGTATGATAATTTGTTGTGTAGCAACAAGGAATGAATAGATTTGTACAAAATTATTTTTACATCCATGATCTTTTGGGATAAAATCCTAGATATAGAATTCCTAGGTAAAAAGCTATTCACATTTTTAAGATTTTTGTGTTGTGTTGCTAATTTGCTCTCAATAGGCCTTGTACCAATTTAAATGTCTCCTAGAAACCTATGTTACTGCACCCTGACAAACACAAGATATTGTAGTTCTGATAGACAAGAACAAAAAATAAAAAGGTATCTCCTGTTTAAAAGATTTATGTTTCACTTATTGGTAGTAGGGTTGATGCGTTTGTTTGGAGTTCATTGGGCATCTTTATCAGTGAATTAGATATTCCCATTCTTTGGTTAGCTTAACTGTTGACAAAGAGCAAATATTCCCTAAAATGTAATACAGCATTTATCTACTATAATGTTTGCAAGGGGGAGAATCATTAATGAGCTTAATTGGGAGGATGAGTACTTCTGAGATGTATAACTTTTGCCATTATTCCCTGCAAAAAAAATAAATAAATAAGTATCCCAAATGTCATTCTGTGCAAGACTGGAGAAATGTCAGCATCATGGATGAGACAGCATTATTACCTTATTGTTTCCTAGGGGAAAAGTCTGGCTTATCTGGTTTGGTATTAGAAATGTAATTGTTTTAAGAATAAAGTTTTGTTGTATCCTGCTGTGGAAAATTGTATCTTTGACAGCTGTTTACTCAGGGGAAAATTTATCTTCATAAATAAAGATACATCACTATTTTCAGTTTGATCAAGATAATCATCTCTGATTATGATTGTTATATTTCTTTTACTAAAATAGGGTCAGAAGAATTTCAAGCAACTTTTTCTTAAATCTTTGCTATTGAAATAGCATTTACTTCTGACAAATGAAATAAGGTAGACAGAAAAAAAGTATGAATGGAGAAGCTAGGAGATTGACTTTTCTCCTAGAGAGTAGTTTTGGTTGATTTGTCTTTTTTTGAAAAAATAGTTCTTGCTACCTCAGTTTTTGAAGATTGGTATTTTCCTAATAATAAAATATTTTTAATTTTTTAGAAAATTTTAAAATAATTGCAGATTAACAGGAAGTTGCAAGGAAATGTACAGGAAGATCCCATATATAAGCACAATTTTTGGTTTTTTAGTTGAATGGATAAATCTTATTTACTTAGAAAAGTAAACCTCCTCTAGTGGTTGAATATTTGTGTTCACAGAATTCATAATGGCCTGTCCTTCCATGGAGGACTGATGTTGCGGGGTTTTTTGCTTTTGTTTTTTAAGTTTTGGATAGACACTAGAAATGCTGAGCTGGCCTGGTTCAGGGAGCATAGACTTTGTAACTGTGGAGGAGGCCCCATCCATGTGACTCAAGGATACGGCTGTGTAGCAGTAGCAAGAAGAGTGTGCACTTGACATTTAGACACCTGGACTCCAGGCTGGCTCAGCCACATTATCACTGGGTAACCATTCAAACTCACTTTTACCTTCCTCCTTAGTTACTTGCAATATGGATAGTAAAGCAATTGGGAAACTAAAGCTCTGGGTAACAGTAATTTTTTTCAAACTCCTTTCATGGTTGTAATCCCTATGATAAAAAATTACACTTTTGAGTTGAACAACAAGGGCAGACGAATTCTGACAAGGAGTTTTGTCAAAAATGTTTGTGCTTGAAGATGCCTGGGGACCTGGGAGCACAACACAAAGAATGAATGGTGCCCATGCTTTCACCTGGTAGATTAACACCGCTCATCAAATTAGCTTGTTGTCAGCTAGGCAGCAGGAGGCACAAGCAAAACTGACTGACTTGGAGGGGAGCTGGGCTGGAGCGCTGGGACTGCTCTCAGTACTGTTTGCTTTCAGTATGTATTCCCAGTGAGATCCTTGCTTCCATTGGCAAGTGGGGTTTCCTAAAATTCCTGAATTGTAGATTAGATTCACATAGTGAAAAAAACAAGAGAGAGAAGATAATGAGATTATCACCATACGTTTGTTGCACACTCTCTTAAGGTGCTAAATGCCTTGCCGACTTTTTCCACTCCTTTAGTGCACAGTAAGGCTGCGAGGCAGGCCCTTGTAGTTACCCCCCTTTATAGAAAAGAGAATTTCAATGGTTAAGTGGATGACCTAGAGTCACCTAAGTACTAAGTGGAGAGTCACTTCCCAGTTCACACCTGTCTGGCTCCACAGTCAGTTATTTACATAGGAAGCAGAGGTTAAGACCCAGGGTCACTCTACTTCCCTTCTTAGTCTAGCTTTTTCTGCATTATTTTTCCCATAATTTGCCTATTCTGTGCGTTTCCTCAAGTATTTTTCATCTGTGTACATTCAGCTAACATGTCAAGTTAATACAAAAGTTGTTGGGTTTTTAAACTTCTGGGTAGAATGGGTTTTCACTTTTTTAAAAATGGAATTCTCAGTCACTCAATGTTTTAGTGAAGCGTCTTCCACCAGACTCCCGTGAAGCAGACTGTCTCCACGCGCTATTAAAAGTTGGACCTTGTGACCACTGTCTGGCTGTGTCTTTCGTTTAGGGAAGTCAGAGGGTGCAGTCTGTGTCCTCGTGGAAAAAATAGCCACCAAGAGATCTATCCAGCATCATTTTTAGTTCTTTAATTTTGGTAAGGCCACATTTTCAAAACAGATTAAATTTATCTATTTAAGAAGTATATATTACAGAGGATTCAAAGGCCAGGGGAGAATTCAAATGCGCAGAGCAGAGCTAGAGAGCTTTGTACAGAGAGGCCCTTTGGAGGTAAGCCTTTCTCCTAGAAGCTTTGGTTACTGTGTCTTCAAAAACATGGCCCATTCTTTCTGTTATTATTGAAAGCATAATTATTGCTGTAAGGACAAATAATTCTTCATATTCGCTTGACAGTTCTAAAATTATGTGTTTTTTTTTTACATTTTCAAGAGACAAGATACACTGCATGTTCTAGAAGTTCTAGAAGTTCTACCCATCTCTTTTCTACCCTGAAGAGAGTTGGAAATGAATGAGTAACATTTTGCATGAAAATTTCTGAACGATGTTTCCTCTTATCTCTGGGGCCTCCTGTGGAGAATTAATAGAAGCTTGAATGTGTGCATGGATAAAATGGATCATCTTAAAGGATTGAAGTTCCAAAAATATACCAGCAGGACTGGACAGGTTTGACATAATGAGATTTCTATTTTAACTCGACTCCTGGAACTCTGAATAAACTATAAACTGAGCTGCACAAGGTCCTGGGGAGGAAAGTTCTCTTCTCGTATATTCTGCTTGTATTTAACATTGTTCTTCTTGAGAGCCTTTGGAAAAGTATATTTATTCATAAGTTTACTGAGGGAAAAAGCTATTAGATAGATACCAACTTTTAATAAATGTAGTGAGCTAGGAAGCCGCAACCTGTATCATCCTGGAAAACGAATTTAATTAAAGAAACAGACATCAGAAAGTAAGAGATCTCTCCTAAGCAGCAGTGGAGATGGCAGAAGCTCCTGCAGACACCCCAACCCTTCCTGTAACAGTGAAGAAAAAGAAAAGTCTGTCCATTGAGGAAAAGATTGACATCATAAACGCAGTGGAAAGTGGCAAGAAAAAAGCAGAGATTGCAGCTGAGTATGGAATAAAGAAAAATTCACTGTCTTCTATCATGAAGAATAAAGACAAAGTTCTAGAAGCCTTTGAATCTCTGAGATTTGATCCAAAGAGAAAAAGACTGAGGACTGCTTTTTACACTGATCTGGAAGAGGCGTTAATGAGATGGTATCGCATCGCGCAGTGTCTGAATGTACCAGTTAATGGTCCAATGTTGCGTCTAAAAGCTAATGATTTTGCCCAGAAACTGGGCCATAATGATTTTAAGTGCAGTAATGGTTGGCTGGATCGCTTTAAGTCCAGGTATGGTTTGGTATTCAGAGCTCAACCTGCAGAAGCTACAGGTGTACCAGTAGACCCTTCGACTGTCTGGCAACAAAATGTACTTCCTTATTATTTAAACGATTATCAACCTAAAAATGTTTTTAATATAAAAGAGACTGGGCTGCTTTATCGAATGTTACCTACAAATACCTTTGCATTTAAAGGAGAAACATGCTCTGTTGGAAAGTTATACAAAGACAGAGTAACTCTGGTGATTGGCACAAACATGGACGGCTCAGAGAAGCTTCCTTTGCTTGTCATTGGAAAAAACAAAAATCCACATTGTTTCAGAGGTATAAAGTCGCTGCCTGTGCATTATGAGGCTAACAGAATGGCATGGATGACCTCCGATATATTTGAGCAGTGGATGCAGAAACTTGACGAGAAATTTCAAGCGCAGCAACGCAGAGTGGTGATTTTTGTGGAATCTTTGCCGGCACATCCAGAGGTAAAGAATCTCAAGTCCATTGAGTTAGCCTTCTTTCCGTCATGTTTATCTCCCAGATTTATAGCTATGAAACAAGGTGTTATTAAAAGCCTTAAGATCAAATATCGGCATTGCCTTATCAAGAAATTTTTAAGTTCCGTTGAAGGCAGCAAAGAGTTCATGTTTTCGCTCCTAGATGCAGTTGATACGCTGCACCTCTGTTGGAGGGCTGTAACCACAGAGACTATTGTTCAAAGCTTTGAAGAGGCAGGATTCAAATGTCCAAAGGAAGAAAGTGAGGCGCCAAGTGCAGAGGGAGAGGCTCCTCTTGACTTTGTTGCTCAGGCGCTGGGCACTGAGGCAGACTTCCCTGAAGGTTTGTCTGTAGAGGAGTATGCTGCCTTGGACGAAGATCTGGAGACGTGCGAAGTGGCACCAAATGACGATTCCGTATGTCCCAAAGAGAGTAAGTCTGATGAACCTGGATGCTGTACCTCTGATGAAGAGGAGGAGGAAGCATCTCTGGCAACGGAACTTCCTGCACCATCACAAAATGAGGCCTTAACTGCTTTAGATACTCTTAAAAAATTTCTTAGAAGTCAAGACATGAATGATGGACTTCACAATTCTTTAGCAGACCTTGAAAATTTTCTTAACTCTTTATCACCTAAATAGTGTACAACTTCTAAAGAGTAATGGCTTGCCTTGTCCTGCTGTATTTTACTATATAAAGTACGTAAAGGAGAAACACAAACATAAAAAAAAAAGAACTAATGATTTTTGGTTTAATTTCAAGTCTGTAGTCTAAATACCAAAACTCCCTAGTAAATTATAAATAACTTAAAAATTCAAAAGTCTATTTAGCAAGGCTTGAGGGATGTAGAAAATATATTTCAGAGGCCTTGAACTTGACACTTGTGTGTCGTACGTGAACAGAATCCTGCGGCTATCTGATTCGAACACATTGAATTGATGACTGTGATTTTCTTTGTGTTTTTTTTAAAGTTCAGATTGTGTTTTAGGATATTTTAATTTATCTACTTGGTGTAAGAAATGAAGTGTCTATCAATAGATATTTATTTTTATAAAGACGTGCTATATATATCTAAAATAGACTTAAGTGTCAAATATTAAAGTAGTCTTAAATTATGTTTCTTATAACTGACTAACCTTCCTAATAAGGAAACTTGAGAAGCTACTAGAAATAAAATCTGGCCTAACTACACACCTACTGATTAAAAATACATGTCTTACCACTTTCAAGATAGTGTATATAAGGCCAAATGAAAGGCTAAGACTCTGAGAATTATTTGTCATCTGTAACCAGAAGCTATGATTCTTTCCTAAATATTTATATGTGTATGTGTGTGTTTAAATAGAAAAATATTTTATTGAAACATTTATTAAACTTTATGATATTTGCATTTTAATGATATTCTTAAAAACTAAATGTGAAGATATGTGTGCAGTTACTAAAAAAAAAAAAAAAAAGCTGTGCTTTTTTTCTAATCATACAGCCCAAGCTTTTAATCTATAATATTTAACTATTTCTTGATTTTACTGCATTTTCTTTTCAGGAAAAACTAACCATCCTTCCAGCACATTTTGATCTGTTTAACGTTTTTTTAAAAAGTTAATTGGTAACATTTTGAATTAAAATTATGTTTGAGGAAGTTTTGTGTACAAAATGTTTAAGATATGAAATTATCTCTGCCTATAAAAGTCTTTTTTTTTTTTTTTTTTTTTTTGACAGGCAGAGTGGACAGTGAGAGAGAGAGACAGAGAGAAAGGTCTTCCTTTGCCATTGGTTCACTCTCCAATGGCCGCCGCCCCTGGCGCGCTGCGGCCGGCGCACCGCGCTGATCCGATGGCAGGAGCCAGGAGCCAGGTGCTTTTCCTGGTCTCCCATGGGGTGCAGGGCCCAAGCACCTGGGCCATCCTCCACTGCACTCCCTGGCCACAGCAGAGAGCTGGCCTGGAAGAGGGGCAACCGGGACAGAATCCGGGCCCCAACCGGGACTAGAACCCGGTGTGCCGGCGCCGCTAGGCGGAGGATTAGCCTAGTGAGCCGCGGCACCGGCCTGCCTATAAAAGTCTTTAAGCAGTAGAAAATTCTAAAAATATGTCAGACTTCCATTTTTAAATTTTAAATAGTATGCTTATTTCACTTACTACAGCAAACTTAGGGTCCTATTTGAAAAGTATTTGTAAAAGTGTAAAACACACAGATTATTTATGATGAATACTTACATGACAGTACTAATGCATTTGAAGGAAATGTCTAAAAAGTAAATTAAAAAATTAGATACAAAGGGATAGCACTTTAAAAAAAAGGAAGGAAATGTATATAGAAAGCATTTTTCTTTTCCACTGTTGATTTACTCTGCTTTTGAGATTTTTAACAATAAGCCTTTTAAGAGGTTTATTATTAAAAAGAACTTTTGTCAAAGTAAAATTGGATTATTTAAATTTGAAGCATTTTATTAGTGATGTAAAATTTTCATTTGGTAGAATCATGGACCTAAAGAGTTCCACTTGTAACTATAGTACCTGGCATATATTGAGTCCTCAGTATGTTTTGTTTTTTTTCTTTCTCCACTTGATGCTATTTTGTTATCTATTTTATTTTATTTTTTTATTTTTATTTTTTTACAGAGTTAGACAGTGAGAGAGAGAGGCAGAGAGAAAGGTCTTCCTTCCGTTGGTTCACCCCCCAAAATGGCCACCACTGCCGGTGCACCGCGCTGATCCGAAGCCAGGAGCCAGGTGCTTCTCCTGGTTTCCCATGCGGGTGCAGGGCTCAAGGACTTGGGCCATCCTCCACTGCACTCCTGGGCCACACCAGAGAGCTGGACTGGAAGGGGAGCAACCAGGGCAGAATCCGGCGCCCCAACTGGGACTAGAACCCAGTATGCTGGCACCGCCAGTGGAGGATTAGCCTAGTGAGCCGCAGCACCGGCCATCTATTTTATTTAATAATTCTAGATATTCTATGACAAGTAAATATTATCTTCATTTTCACAAATGAGGAAACTGAAACCTGGAAAGATGAAATGATTTGGTAAAATCTCATTGTCCAAACTAAAATTCAGTATTACTTCATCACCTAACTAAACATCCTCGAATTATAATTCCACTGTAATTAGAATACCACTGTGCTTCTCATCTACACTCTATAAATGACAAGTCTATTAATTTTTGCCTTTGAGTTTTGGGGACTGAAGTGAAAAGTATTTCAGAGAAGATGAAGGGTGCATGCTGATAGCGCCACTTACAAGCTCTCTTCTAAAGACACTGTTACTGATGAAACGCTGGAATACCTTCTGAGCTCATCATTCTATGCCACCCAGTTATGGGTGTCCCAGTGTAGCTTTATTGAAAATATTTTTAAGAATTAGTATTTCCAAAGTGATGAAAGCATCTACTCTTTTTCCCTAAATAACATAGCCCATTTTTTATTAAAACATATGTATTAGGTAGGGTCTTGTGGTGCAGCTAGTTGAGCCACCACTAAGTATGTTTGCATCCTGTGTTGGCATGCGACATCCAACTTCCTGCTGATGCTCACCCTGGGAGGCAGCAGATGATGGCTCAAGTAGTTGAGACCCTGTCCCTCATGTAGGAGACCCAGCTGAAGTCCTGACTCAGCCTCTGCAGATCTCCCTCCCTCCCCCTCTCTCCCTGTCTTTCTCTCATCATAATCTTTAAAAAACAGACAAAGCTACTATAAGTAATTGGAAAAAGAACCTGTAGATTTAAATTAAAGATTAAGGTGTTAATGTTATGCATTCTTCTGTGCAGTGTATAAGGCATCTGAACAATTTTTGAAACACTTTTCAGGATTTAGCTTTTCCAAGGACATAGACCCTCAGTGCTCTCTACAACGTTCCTCCCTTATCTTCTATACAAAGTTGGAATTTAAATGTCACTTGTCTTTTCAAAAAAACCAACTTGATTTGCAATTTGTTTTTAACTAAATGGGAAATATTTTCACTGTTCTTGCCTTATAAATTCCTACTGTTCCAACAGTGTTTTTGCTTCTTTCATCAAAAACAAATCATGTGTTGAATTGGGGACATTGCTTCACTGCCAGTAGCTACAGAACTTAACTTAAAAAAAGGTTTGCTTCAGGATAAAGTAGGCCTGTAGGTTTCATGTTGCCTACCTGACTCCTCACTTTAGATTTGAAATCAAACCTCGACTGCCTTTCACTGTACACAAGGCATATTATCCAGAAGGAGGAGGAAGGGAGGGAGAGAAGTGGAGGAGGGCCTCCCCGGCAGACACCACGGATGCCCCCTTCATCGGCTGGTCCAGTTCTGTAGGGACTGGCAGAAAGAGGTGTGGGCCTTAGCGGGGTCAGCACCACAGACCCTGCCGGCAGGTTCGGAGCCCCGGGACGCAGGGGTCTCTGGGGCGAAAGTCATCCAGGAAGCTGCACCAGTTGCTGTGTGAAGATTCTGCCATCAAAGGATAGAAAGGCCTGGGGCAGGGAAGGGAGAGGGGTCCGTTTGGTGCACATGAGAGGTTCTCCGAGAGAGTTTCATTTACTGGAATAAACCAAATCTAGCCCCAGTTTTGTACTTCCTTGTGGGAGACATCGATTTCCCTGATCCTCCATTGATCAAGTGAGACTGATAATGCTTCATGAGAATTTAACTTGAAGATGAAAATTTTGCATGCAAACGTATTCAACTCTAACTTATTCCACATCTAAAAGAAATGACTGGGAAGGTGTTTCCATGAAGCTACTGTCAGCAAAAGCTCAGTCCTTGTCTCCAGTGCTTCATCAAAATAGGACGAGTTTGAGGGTAATGAAAAGAGAAAGTGTACTATCGATGCATGAGGACCTAGCAGACTTTTTGAGTCTCAAGAACTACCACCCTTCTTAGTGAAGATGGTCTGGGGTTTTTATTAAAGCCGCAGAGAAGGGGGCTGGTTCCAACAGGAAATGCAGAAGGAATGAGAAGTGTTCAGGGTAGCCGTGATAAGGCCTGGAACTGGGCAGCCAGGCACCAAATTAGCCACAGGATTGCTGCTCAGCCCTTAAGAAGGCCTGCTGGTGGAGAGGCTAACCCTATCTCGCTGGGTTGCTCTGCTCTGCCTGCCTGGAAGACATGGAGATAAGGACTGAAGCGAGCTGAGGGCGTGGCCAATACGGACAGCCAAGGATGTAGTCTTGAAGCATGCTGTAACCCAGTGCTTGGTAAAACATCAACTGGCTAGAGTCGGTGATGGTAAAGCTACACATTGGACGTGGCAAGAAGCAACTCCTGCAACTTTTCTATCACTGGCACCTGGTTACACTCCTGCCAGGTATGCCCAGATGGTCACTGAAGGTCAATGACAATTTTCCTGTTGGCATTCTATGCAGTAAGATAGGGAAGCCAAAATTTCTAGAAATTCATCTATTCAGCTCAAAAACATTGTTCTCATTTTGCATAGGGAACAAGGCAACTGAGAAACCTTTATTTTTCCTGAAGTGATCTTTGTGCAAAGCAATAGAATAAAATAAGCACTTCTCACAAAGTAGCCCTTTCTGTTGCCACATCAGCTGACGCACTTGGCCTGTCTCCTGGGACTGTCATTACCTTGTGAAGCCTAGGGGAACCCAAAGTCCGGTGCACACTAAGAAACACATACACAGCTCTATTAGCCTGCACAGGCTGCCATAACGAAATGCCAAAGATTAAGTGGTTTAAAGCACAGAAATTCATTTTCTCACTGTTCTGGAAGCCGGAAGTCCAAGATCAGGGTGCCAGCGTGGTCGGTTTCTTTGGCGGCAGGCAGACTGTCACCTTCTTTTCTGTGTGCTCACGCCATACTTGTGTGAACATGGAGAAAGAGCAAGCTCTCTGAAGTCTCTCACAAAGGCACTACTCCCATCATGAGAATCCCATAATTACCTCTCCATTCACAAAGAGCACACTGAGGGGTGAAGATTTCAACATATGAATGGTGGGGTGGGGAGGGTGCAAGCCTTCAGTCCACTGCAGTTACCTAGTATAAATAAAGATAGTCATGTATTAATCAGTTGTTTCTACTTGCTAAAAGCTGAAAGGGCATGCATTTTCAGAATTTGTCAGATGTCGCTATTAGCAATCGCATGCAGCTACAAAGACTTGAAACACACAATCACATGTGGCCACAAAGACTTGAAACATACACTTTGAAGAAATGGGAAGACTCAATATTGGAAAATGTCAGTTTCCTCCAAGTTAATCTCAATGCACTTTCATTGACAACTTTGCAAAATAACTCTGATTTTCATCTGGAAGAATAAATGTATATCAGTATCTAAGAAAATCTTGAAAAATAAAAATGAGGGAAGAATTACCTAACATTATGGTGTGGGCAAGAGAATAAATAGATCAAATAATTATGATATTTAGAAAAAAAGAATTTATGGTAAAAATAGCTTTAACTCAGTGATAGAAAAAATGGATTATTCAGTAACTGGTATTGGGACAACCTGCTAACAGAATAGAATTTTTTTTTAGAGATTTCTTTATTTTTAAAGAGTGACAGAGAGATAAAGCTTCTATCTGCTGATTCACTGCCCAAAATGGTTGCAATGGCCAGCACTGGGCCAGGCCAAAGCCAGTAGCCAGAAGCTTGATCCAGATCTCCCATGTTGGTGGTAGTGGCCCAAGCACTTGGACGTCTTCCACTGCTTTCTCCAGGCCATTAGCAGGGAGCTGGATGGGAAGTGGAGCAACCGGGACTCAAACCAGTGCGCATAGGGGATACTGGCATCGCATGAAGCAGCTTAACCAGCTACACCAAAATGACAGCCCTAGAATTTTTTTAAAAGTCATACTCCAAAATGAATCCTAAAGGGATTAAACTCTTAAAATAAAAGAAGAAAGGAAGGAAATAAATGAGCAAAAAAACTTATAGATACTAGAGAAGAAAATAAAGGTGAAGATTTTCAATAACCTTGTAATAAAGGAGATTTTTTTTTAAAGTATGACAAGAAGAGGAGTTAAGTAAAAAATTGTTAGTGGAAACATGAAAATATTTTCAACATCACTAGAAATCAAAGAAATGCAAGCAACACAATGAATAGGATATCTTTTTTTGCTTCTCACATTACAAGAACAATAATACCAAATATAGACAGGAACATAACGGCTGGCTACAGTGTTGTTGCAAAGATGCACTGTTTATAAGTTGGGACACTCTCGTGTTATAATTATAGCTGACATGTATTAAATGCTGACTAATTGCCATTGTCCTGAGTGTTTTGCAAGTTGCCTCATTTAATCTTCAGAATAACCCCGACTCCTATCATCTCTGTTTTACTGCTGAGAAAATGTAAGTGTAGCTACTACAGCTCAGAGATGCCAGAGTAGGATTCAAACCCAGAAATCCGACTTAATGTGCATACATGATATAAATGCATTCAAATAAAAGTGTTAAGATTTTTTGTTAACAATGCATGCAGTCCCTTTGCCCTGTACCTAAAATCCTGGGAGTATATGTGTTTCAGAATTTCTCAGATTTGAAAAGCATGATGTATAATATATGCACAGTGTGTGAGTTTTACCCTCCCATGGGGCATTAGAACAACATCCCACAATCCAACAATAATTTTCCAGTGTACATGAAAATAAATGTTTACATGAAGTCAGACGTGTAAAGGTAATACATACCTTGTTGCATAGGTTTTATTGCCAAATAAGTTCACATCGGGATTTCTCACCCAGTGAATTACAAAAAGCATTTTTCAGAGCTTTCTGTATTTCAGAACAACAGATTTAAAAATTACTGTTTTATAACACTATAAATAAAAGGCAAAATATTGAAAACCGTTTAGCAAAAGAACTTTCTTTAGCAAAAGAACTGATTAAGTATGCTTGTTTATATTCAATGAAACATCTAGGCTCAAACTTCCAACTTTTGTTCTTGGGTGTATGTGCTGAATTACTGGTCTCAGCTGAAGTGAGTCTTTTCTCAATTTGACTTGCAAATTCTATTGAAATCTCCTCTTCCTGTGATATTTTTCCTTGTTGAACATCTTATCAGCACAAGGTTAGAATTTTCCTTGCCAAGTAAAAGAGGAACTACTCATAATATTGAGTTGATGAAAAACTAGATTTGCTGGTTTAACATACTATGAATTACATGTTCTTCTTTATGCCTTAGCCAAAGTCTGAAAGAGTCAACTTTCCTGATCAGACAACACCTGATCAGCCAACATCCCAGGGGAAAAAATCCGAAGCATAAGGTTCCCACTTGGCTCCCCTTTGACTTATTTTTTTTTCCCCTAGTTCTCAAAACTCTACAAGAGCATGGATTTTTTAAAAGGTGGGACGGTTAGATGGGCCCTCTGTGTCTCTCCAAGATTGTCTATCTATTAAATACGTAGCAGGTTGTTGGTGTGATTAAATATTTGCTCATGCAAAGTTACAGTCTTGTTTCTGGTATTAGAAATAGACCAGGCTTTTGTTGTGTTGTGCTGTGATTTCCCCTAACTTCCTCTTTGTAAGCCACAAAATCCTCTTGTTAAAGCAAGGTCATGGCTGGCACCACACCCTATTTTCTATATTGCAAAATAGGTAACTGGGCCAAATGACGAGAGCCATTTTCCTGTCACTGCCTGCTCAGATGAGGCGCTGTTCCCCAAAGAAGATCCAGAGGTGCATCTGCCAGCCCTCAAAGTGCTTTACTGAGAGCTATTTGTCCCACACTGCGTGCTAGCCAGTTTGCTGTTTTGTTCTACCAGGCCTTTCCATTTAGAGCAAGTCCTGCACTTGCACCCACAGGTAGTGCGGGAGAATCTAAATCAACAGTGTCTGAATCACCAGGAAGAAACTGAAGCTGAAACCAAAGGATACTTAGTTATATTTCAGTGGCAAGATTAGTTATTCTAATCAACTTCTACTGATTGGGACTGGGGGATTGGGAGCAAGTATAGTTTTTTGTTTATTTTATTATTTTTTTAGTTATTTATTTATTTGAAAGGCAAAGCAGCAGAGAGAAAGAGAAGGAGAGAGAGAGATATCTTCCATCCACTGGTTCACTCCCCAAATGGCCACAACAGCCAGGGCTGGGCCAGACAGAATGCAGGAGCTCAAAATTCCATCCGGGTCTCCCACATGGGTGGCAGGGGCCCAAGCACTTGGGCCATCTTCTGCTGCCTTCCTAGGTATGTTAGCAGGGAGCTGCATCAGAAGTGGAACAGTGAGGACTCGAACCTGCAGTCTGTAAGTGGCGCCCTAATCCAGTGTTCTACACACCAGCCGTGTATTTTTTCATTCCTGAACTGTGTGGCATGTGCAATATACATTGGCTACAAAGCTAATAACCTTTTAAAATATCTGCTTGTACTTAGACTGAGAAATTTCAACTTTGACTTATTTTCTTCTGCAGTTGATCATTGTCCCCTCAGATTGAGTGATTCTATTAGAGAGTCCATACTAAATCCTTTGGAAGTTCAGATGGATCTTACCAAATTCACTTTGGTATTCCAGGGCTTTTCACAAATAAAACTGACTCAAACCTAATGACTCTAAAGTTTATTGTGAGGGAAAAAAGCCTAATTATCCAGCAAGGGCCCATGATGTTCATTATGCTAGGCACTGAGGATTTAATGGTGACAATAAAAAGAAATATATCTGCTCTTATGTAATTTGCAGGCCAGTGGGGGAAGCATATCTTCCTCCATAATGACACCATCAAATATAACGCTGCCACTGTAATAAATGCTCTGAAGGAGCGGGACCTGCTTCTGTACAGCTGCCTGATACGAGTATGAGGATCTGACCTGGTTGCAAGACTGGGGAGGATTTGCTGAACTGACAGGAGCTAGGAGCTGCGACCTACATGATAAACAGGAGGTATCTAGGCAAGGCCTAATGCTGGGAAGAGGACCCATCTGGGCTCGGCTTGGGCAAGAGAGGGCCTGAACTAAAGAACTGAAAGAGAGCGTGGGGAGGAAGAGAGAGATGAGGTGGGTCTGGCCCTGGAGGGACTGCCAGTAGTTACGGCTTACACACAGGAGCTACTTCTGTAAATGTGTGGGAACAAATGTAGGAAGAGAGGGAGAAGACGTCCCATCTTTGTCTTGCAAGTCTACACCATAAGCAGAACTGTGGGACTCTGAACATAGGAAAATGTTAGAAGACTAGGGTTTGGGGAAAGTAGAGTGAAAATCCAACATCAAGAAAGACTCCTTCCAGGGGTGGGGAGAGAGAAAGGTGCGAGAGCAGAGAGACCAATGGGGATGGCCCAATAATGACGAATTGTAGCCAGAGCCACTTGAAGATCAAAGAGCTATGGGGGCTGAGCTGCCTCCGCGGGGAGCCTGTGTGGTCCACTGCTGGGGCCTGGGGCTGACATCAGTGGTCCTGCCCCCTCATGGCTTCCCCAAAGAGGGCTGCAGGTACTTTGCTTGGTGATCACCTTGCGGAAATGACTCATTCCACCCTTAGCTTTCAAAACCGGGCTCCTCGTGTGTGGAGCATAACTTTTAACCACCTTAAGAAGGGCTGTGGGGCCCTGGAGACCTCAGGGGAGAGTGGAAGTGAGGAAAGGAGATGCTCCCATAGCTAAACTTGAAGCGAGCTGAACCTGATGAAGATCCTGGTAACTGCCCGCACCAAACACACACCCCCTAGTGGCGACTCCAATTTACGCTGATCACAAACTATAATTTGGTAGAAAAGGGTCATATATATGTATGTACATGGAGCAAATACATAATCATACATCTTTATAAAAATAGATTTTAATAGTATCCAATTAATAGTCTTGAGTCCCTTCTTCATAAAATGTATGAATGTAGCATGTGATAAGGAAACACAAGCTGAATAATAACTTGTTTTTCATGGACAGATGCTGGGCAAATGCTCTAACTAAATGGCCTAACCAGAAATTATCCTAATTAATGGAAAAAACATCGTCCAGGCTATTGGGAATAATGTAATAATAATCTACCTGAAATCTGTATTTTAACGTTCAAGCCCCAAAAAGATTTTAAACACTGAGTAAGAAAAAAAATGAGATGAGGCAAAACAAGTTTTTATTAATTTGGAGAATAAGTGATTCTCTAGTAAATGACTTCTCGTTCTTTTTTTTTAAAACAAATTCTGAACTAGTACACTAATAAGCTGTGTTGCTCTGTGAGACAGGCGGGGGCCAAAGAAGGAAGAGTAAAGTCTTCATACTTATTATAGGACACGTGACGCACAAAGAATAAGGTCTTCACTTTTTTATTTTGCATAATTTCTTTGGTATTTTAATCATATTCCATAGCCATTTTAGTGTAAAAGATAAAAATACATTTATTTATTTATTTGTTTTGTTTGAGAGGTAGAGTTACATACATACATACATACATAGAGAGAGAGAGAGAGAGGTTTTCCATCCACTGGTTCACTTCCCAAATGGCCGCAATGGCCAGAGCTGCGCCAATTCGAAGGCAGGAGCCAGGAGCTTCCTCCTGGTCTCCCACGTGGGTGCAGGGCCCAAGGACTTGGGCCATCTTCCACTGCTTTCCCAGACCACAGCAGAGAGAGAGCTGGATCGGAAGTGGAGCAGCCAGGACTCAAACCAGCACTCACATGGGATGCTCGCGTCCCAGGTGGTGCCTCCCCTGCCTTGCCACAACGCTGGTCCCGAAGCTAGATTTCTTACAAAACGGACTTCATTTCACATCATGTCGCCGGTTAGAAGATCATTCTTCTAATTCTTGTTGACTGTGAGAACTTTCTCCACAAGCCCAGGCAACTTTCAATAGTGCCTGTGATAGACACAAACTGCTGAGCACTTGGAAAACTTCTTGGCATCTGGGAAAGGCATCGTTCCTAATTAACTGCCCAGAGAATGTTTCACTGTGCCGGGATCACTTAAGTGCTGCTGGCAGTGTTTGTGGGACCTGAGGGACTCGCCGCTATGTTTTTAATCAGGCAAACTAACAAGCTAACACTTTTCAATGACTTAGCAGCACCGCGTAGAGCAGGACGCCAGATGTTCAAAATTCTGCAGAGCAATTCCCAAACTCCTTGTCAACCTCAGAAGGCCCGAGGGATCCTTGGATAAGTTTAACCTGTGAATACTACTTGGTTTTGTTTTTTCTTTTTAACTTTGAGGCTGTTAAGGTTTGAGGGTTTCGTTTTGTTGCACTGGAAATTTTTAAAAAGTCATTAAAACTTGAGATATAAGAAGGTACTTCAAAAAGTTTGTGGAAAAGTGGATTTAAAAATATTTTGGTGCAAAAAAATTTCAAATCTATGGGTAGTTTTTTCATAATGTGCATTTTTTTTTAAAAAAAGATTTTATTTATTTATTTGAAAGGTAGAGTTACAGACAGTGAGAGGGAGAGAAAGAGAGAAAGGTCTTCCTTCTGCTTGTTCATACCCCAAATGGCTGCAGTGTTTTGAGCTGAGCTGATCCGAAGCCAGGAGCCACTTCTGTGCCTTCCACGTGGGTGCAGGGGCCCAAGCACCTGGGCCATCTTCTACAGCTTTTTTTCCCCAGGCCATAGCAGAAAGCTGGATCGGAAGAGGAGCAGCTGGGACTAGAACCGGTGCCCTTATGGGATGCCGGTGCCGCAGGTGGAGGATTAACCTACTGCACTATAGCCCCTGGCCCCTTATGAACTTTTGAAAGATCCCCTTTTATGCATGGATTTTGATTGCTTTTTTGTGCACCAAAATAAGCTTATCTTTTAATTCCACTTCCCAAAAACTTTTTGAAGTACCCTCATATTTGCAATCAAAGCGAGTTTTTATTTTTATTTTTTGAACATTTGAGGACAGTTTTACAACATCAAGGGTTAATTGAACAAGAGCATTTATTTATAAAATTATATGGAAGTATTTTCATGTCTCTTATCAGAGAAGCTGGTGGGAAGAATACTTTTTTTTTTTTATTTGACAGAGTTAGTGAGAGAGAGACAGAGAGAAAGGTCTTTCTTCCGTTGGTTCACCCCCCAAATGGCCACTAAGGCTGAAGCTACACCAATCTGAAGCCAGGAGCCAGGTGCTTCTTCCTGGTCTCCCATGCAGGTGCAGGGGCCCAAGCACTTGGGCCATCCTCCACTGCCTTCCTGTGCCACAGCAGAGAGCCGGACTGGAAGAGGAACAACCGGGACTAGAACCCAGTGCCCACATGGGATTCCAGCACCGCAGGTGGAGGATTGACCAAATGAGCCTTGGCGCCGGCCCGGGAAGCATATTTTTAAAATTTCTTTTGATTAACAGCCATTTTTGACAATTCAAATAAAGCTTTGAATTTTCTCCAGAAAAGAGAGAGAGATAAAAGTTACTTAAAATTCCAGAAGGCTTCATGTTTTCACCATTATCAAGCCTTCATTGTTAAAACCTATATAAAATGTTTAAAAAGAAAAAAAGACGGGCTGGCGCAGTGGCCTACTGGGTAAAGCAGCTGCCTGCAGGGTCGGCATCCCATGTGGACGCCAGTTCAAGTCCTGGCTGCTCCACTTCTAATCCAGCTCTCTGCTATGGCCTGGGAAAGCAGAAAATGGTTTAAGTCCTTAGGCCCCTGCACCTGTGTGGGAGACCCGGAAGTGGTTCCTGACTTCGGATCGACTCCAATCCGGCCATTGTGGCTAATTGCGGAATGTGGGTGGAAGACTTCCCTCTTTCTATCTCTCTGTGTGTCTTTCCATCCCTGTCTATGTAACTCTGAGGACTTTCAAATAAGTAAATAAATAAATCTTTAAGAAAAAAGATTAAGTCGCTAAAGAGATTGTGCTAACACATCTTCCCTCTCTTTTGAACACTTCAGTGTCACCAAGCAAGCACTCAATACTTACAGAAAAAAAATACGAGAATTATTTCTAAACTCACATTGGAAAGAAGCAGTTGTCTTCTTTTGCACATTATTTTTAATTTTCTCCTTTGATCATTATTTTTAATAGCCTGCTGCTGTATTTTTTACAAGGAATAACTCCCCTTGCCAAATGCAATTAATAAATAGAACTAGCTCAGGCCCTGTGTTCTGCAGAAGCCGGAGAGAGAGTGGAATTAGTTCCAGGCCGAACGTCCAGAGAGGCCTGCTCATTGCGACACTGTCGTCTGGTGCGGCGTCAGAAATATGGCATTTAGAAATGGAAGAAAGGTCGCAAGCCAACCTCCCTGGAGTGACGCGTTTTCTGTTTTCAGAGCGAAAACAACAATGATCCAATCACATGCTCATCATTAGTCAAGCTATTTCAGAGCTAGGAAGACTGTCACTAAAGTGTAAAACATTGTTTCTAGAACCTTCTCTGACAATGCATTATGGGGAGGGAGCCGGGGAGGTAAAGGCCGGGTCAGTCGCTTGGATTTTACCGTCCAGTTGGGAAAACAGAATAAGCACCTGGGTGACGACAGCCATCGTTGTTTGCTAAGTTTCCAATGGAGGAGCACAAACGCACCGAGTAGAAATGGTGACTGGGCTGCCCTGCTCGGGACGGCTCGGTGCAGAGCGCCCGGCCCGGCCGCGTGAGTGCGGGGAAGCGAGTCAGGTAAGGGCGCTTGGGCAGAAGACCCGAGGCGGTCAGGAACAAGGCACTTTGGGGAAAACATTCTAGAAGTTTCTGATATGCTATGTCTGTGTCGTTCATAACGAAAACCTTTATGACATCTCCAAATGTCGATTTTTAAAAGATAGGTCCATGCATTCGCCCAGGGCTTGCCTGTGTTGTAGAGAAATCTGCAAAACGCCACGCTTAACCCCCTCGAAGCGCCCGTGATAAATGACCCTTCCCGTCCTAGGAATCTCACAAAGAAACTTTTAAAGGGATTAAAATAATTCCTGCCATGGATATGAAAGGAAACGGTAGGCCTGAGATCATGCTTTTTAAAAATATCTGGGGTGGGGTTGGATGAAAGGATTAAGAAGGAAATACCAGAGTCTGAGGGAGCTCTGAGGTCGAGAAAATTATTTTGGGAGCAAGGAGTTTATAGTAAGCATTTTCAAGAGGAGCTGGAATGTACAGGGCTCGTGTTCCCTTCTTGTTCTCACCCGCAGCACCAAGGGCTTAAAGGCAGCAAGCTGCCGTCTGCGGGGAGGAGTTGGAAGAAACAGCAGAGCACCCCTCCACTCAACGATTTCCTTCACTTTCCAGCACATAAACCAACTTAAATCTGAGTATAAAAGTTATCCTAAGTAGGATCCCCCAAACCAATTCCTACTCCCCAGCCCCAAATCCAAGCCAGTACAACTTAAGGCTCCAGTTAAGCCAGGTTTATGCTGCCAACAGGGTCTCACAGAGGTGGAAAAACCACGGATATTCCAGGGAGCCAGGGCTCACTCAGTTCATTTTCTCGTTATCTCGCACATTTCTGTTTCTGC